AAAAAAAAAAAGAAAGGGTAGGCAAATTAAAAATTTTGATGTGGATTGCCCCACTCACCTCCAGAAAGGCTGTACCATTTTATGTTCTTACCAATACTATACACAAATATTTCTCCATATCCTTGCTGACATTGATTTGGCCAGTTTTTTATTTTTATTTTTTAATTTTACCAGTTGGATGTTAAAATTGATATTGCAATTCTTTAGTTAGAAATGAAGTTGGGGCCGGCCCAGTGGTGCACTGGAGAGTGCGCCGCTTGGGAGCGCGGCGGCGCTCCCGCCGAGTGTTCGGATCCCATGTGGAGACCGGTTCCCACTCACTGGCTGAGCGTGGAGCGGGCGCAACACCGAGGGTTGCGATCCCGTTGCCGGTCACGAAGAAAGACAAAAAGGAAAAAAAAAAAGAAAAAAGAAAATTTAGCTAATTGTCTGTTAATTACCTTTACTCATGTTTCCATTAGGATATTGGTCTTTTCTCACATTTTTATGTTGTTCCACATGTCAAACTTTTCCTTGATGGTTGCTGCTTTCTATTTGCTCAGAGCCTTTCCTACTTTAAGATTATAAAAATAAGCACCTGTTTTTCTGGTGCCTCCCTATAATTTTACAGTTAAATTTAAATATTTGTTCCATGAACAGTTTATTTTTGTATAAGGAGTGAGCTAAGAATCCAGCATTACTTTTTCTCTAATGTCTGACCAGTTTTCCCACCACCATTTATTAAATACACTCTCTTCCCCACTAATTTGAAATGCCACTTTTATCTTATACTAAATTCTCTGTAATCTTGAGTCTGTTTCTGAGTTTCTATTATGTTCCACTGATTTATCCATCTATTCCTGGCTCCAGTATCACAGTTTACATTACTATAGCTTGATTTTCCATTAAAATTTTTCTTATTGGATTTTGTAAAATTACGAAAGGAAAGTATACAAACTTACTCATGCATGACTATTGTTTTATAATGTGTTTTAATAATTGATGTCACGGGCCTCTTTTCTTTTTCTTCTTTTATGACTTTGCTGATGAAACTCACAAATTCTTCCAGATGGATTTCAGAAATATTTGTGTCAAGTTCTCCAAACAGTTCTTTTATATTTTGATTGGGATTTTATTCAATTTATAGATTAATTTAGGGAAAATTGATTTCTTTACAACTTTGAACCTTTGTAGTTAAGAACATGGTCTGCCATTTATTTAAATCTTTTTTAATGTTCTTGAATATTGTTTGTTAATTTATCCCTAAATTTACTGTTGTTGATTTTTCTGTCCTTGCAAATGTCTTTTAAACTTGATCAGATTCATTTTTTTAAAGTAGGTCAAACCTTCTGGGAAAAATGTTGGATTTTATGATCTGTAATATTAGCATTCTAAGCTGCTTCTTCATTGTATCAGCCTCCCTAAACTAATAAGCTGTATTTCTCAGAATCCTTAAGGCAAATTAGATAATGGTTTCCTTTTGACGGTAATTGTTGTTTAATTACTGAGTATAAACTATAAAAAATTTTGAGGAAGATGACAATATACTATCTAATATCAAAATTAGATATTAACGCAAGTTTGGAGTTTTATTTATGTATTTTGGGGGCAGCTGGCTGGGACTGGGATCTGAGCCCTTGACTTTGGTTATGTTTGCATTCAAATTTGAAGTTTTAAATTGAAAACTTTAACTGTGTAAGTACAGCATCTGGCAGCTTTTTATTGAGTGATAAAAACAAACCTACAATTATAAAACAATTTCATAAGGCTTATGTAGTGGGATGAATTGTGTCCCCGCAAAACTCATTGGAGCTTGAATTGTGTCCCCCAAGTTTTATGTATTAGAAACTTGGCCCCCGCTGTGACTGTTAAGAGGGTGGGAAATCCTATTATGGTAATTGAAAGGCGGAGCCTTGAAGAGGTGATTGGATTATAGGACCATGCCTAGTGAATGGATTAAAAATGGTGGTCAGGGGTGTG